TCGCCCAGCGGTGCAGCATCTCGTCTCTGATTGCTTTAGCACAGGCAGTGACAGGGAGGTCAGTGGTCAGCTGGGCTCAATATAGCCACTGAGACATGCATACCAGCAACAGCATGGCCTCCCCTGTTGATTTTCCTTGCTTCTTCCACTTCCATTAACCCCTGCCCCATGCCATCACTTGTGCCTCTGCTGTGGCGTTGAAGAGATAAGAAGCCAATACTCTGAGAAGAAGAAGAAAATAATAGTCAGCGTGGTGATAAACGTGCCTCAGTCCAGGAGCATAAATGACACAGGTTAGAAGTGTAAACCTGTGAAAACCTTTTTTCTGTAAAAACAGACTTGGCCCTCATAATACTGGGGACATCTTTAGAAATGAGAGAGTGAAATGAGACGGTGTAACAAAGCTATTATTAGTGCTAATTAAACATCCATTACTGCCAGTATTCTGAAATCTTTGAAAACATTCTCATTAGAAATAGTTGAATTTTGACTCTCCATTGTTTTATTTCCTTTTATTTCTCCCCTACACACACTCCATAAATCTCTGTGTTACCAGGGTACATGACACTGCACACAGAGCCAGTTTATAAAAAGGCTGGGATAATGTTTTTTTCTCTGGTCAGCCTCCCCTCCCCTGGAGCCTGGTTACCTCACCTCCATGCCATGGTAGCTTTGCATATAGCGTACCCATTCCTCAGAAGCCACAGTGCTCTTGTCACTACTCTTGGGCATCAAAACCCTCATATCTCTGTCTCTTTGACAGCTCTAGACCGTGACGTGACCATTTATCTCAGATATACGAGGGTATTATCCTTGTTGTTTCTGTCACCAAGCTGATATTAGATTACACCGCAGTCTCAGGGGTAGGATATATGACCCATATTTATAGGCTGTAGCAGGTAAAAACCCGGTTTATTTTCAGATGCTGCTGTTTCAAAGCCTGTTTCTCTTTCTGATGGGTTATTTTTTACACTAACATTCCAGATGTAGCAGAAAGCTAAAAAGGGTGGGATGAGGTGAGTGCTTTTGTCACATGGTGTGTGTATTAAGGCTCAGTCATCCAAGTACCTTTAAGAAATTGGCTTGGTGATGTAGTTACTGGGCCAGTTGTGAACGGCTTCCTTTTTTGGATCAGTTTATAATCAAAGTTAAATAAAAGTGTGTGGTGCAGCACCAGGGACAAAAACACATTCTACCACTCTACATGGTAATAAAAGACGCCTGTCGCTCTGATCCCTGTGCAGCCCTTGGTCTGTCTGATCACTGCATGGTCCATCTCATCCCAACCTATAAGCAGAAACTTAAAGCTGCAAAGCCTGTGGTCAAAATGATGAAGAGATGGACCAAGGAGGATGAGTCAAAGCTACAGGCCGACTTTGACTGTACAGATTGGAGTGTACTTGGGACTATGTCTACAGACCTGGATGAACCTACTGACATTGTGACATCTTACATCAGCCAGCTTTTGTAAGGACATGTGTGTGCCCACCAAGACCTTCTGCATATACAACAACAATCCCTGGTTCTCAGCTAAGCTCAGGCAGCTTTGCCATGCCAAAGAGGAGGCCTACAGAAGTGGGGACCGGATCCTGTACAGGCAGGCCAGGAACACTTTCACAAGGGAGATCAGAGTAGCAAAGAGGAGCTACTCTGAAAAGCTTAACAACCAATTTTCAGCCAATGACCCCTCGTCTGTGTGGAGAAGCTTGAAAAACATCACGGGCTACAGGAAACCATCCCCTCCTGCTGTGGAAGACCATCAACTGGCAGATGGCCTGAATGTGTTTTATTGAAATTTTCCACAAAATTTCAGTATGTTTTGCTGGTGTGGCTGCACATTTACACTGGCTAGATGTACTATAAGTAGGTTGAGAGAAGCATTAAGATAGCTTGCTCTGCACAGCCAAGCATGAATGTATGTACTAAGCACTGGATTTGTTGCTAAGCTCTATACTACTGAAGCACCAAGGGGCCCTTTGTCAGATTCATATGCATTTAAGAAGCAGCTGCTATAAGATGTTTCAAATAAACATCAGTCAGAATTGGAGTGGAAATCATACTGACCTCCACTGTGAGCCAGAGTTATACTAGTACTCCTACTGTACATGTGGAAGAAATAGGTAAACACCTATTGTGAAAATATAAGAGAATATAAAAATGTCAAAGTCACAGTGTGAGCATATAATGAGAGAGAATCATTCTATTTAGGGTCTTCTTTCATCCCACAGTACTGTTGCCTGGAAAGGGAGAACATACCGTGAGCTAAAAGGTCCAGTGTGGGTGTGTGCTGGGCTGCAAGTGAACCTTTGCTGTTGCCTAATGCTGGTTTGTGGCACACAAAAGTCAAATGTAAAATCAATGGTTTTCTGTAATTGGCTCTCCGCAGGGATGCGCTCAGTAATATGAATTTTTATGAAGTAGTGCTTTGTGATTGATGAGAGTTCCGCTTTGGTTCTGTGTCAAGGTTTGTTCTGTGCTGTTTGCTTCTGGCTACTTCTTGGTTAAAATATCTAAAAAGCTAAATAATATCAAACAGCTAAATAAGCATTCAGCCTCTTCCACTATAATGACAAAAACCTTAAGTCTCCTTATTAAAGGGCTAGTACAAGTCTTTACTGACATTCCAGAATGGTCTTAAGAATGAGGCAAACATCAGCAGATCTCTTAAGTAGACATACACATCTGACAGTTAATATCTTTGTTTTTGTGTGTGTGGCTGCAGGCAGCACAGGTAGATTCAGGTCAGGACGTCCCGAGGAGAGGGCCCTGAGCACTGAGGACCAGGAAGCCGAGCCGGTGTCGGTAAAAGAGCGGCTGGCTATGTATCAGGCCACCATGTCCAAGAAAGACGCCAGCAGCTCCTCCTCCGCCGCGGTGAGACAATGCTTCCACATGGGTGTAATGGGAGATGGCAGTAAGGAGATGCAGGCAACCAGGGAGACAGCAGATGGTCATATACATGAACTCATATCAAGTAGTTAAACTGATGGTGTGTGATAGACATTACTTATGTTTATGGCTAAGTTTATGTCATTTAATTCTGCCCAAGTTATAAATCTCTAAGGCTTTGTTGAACAGAAAAGTGGGGTGGGAGCCACAGGGCTCTGATGGGATTATTTGTCACTGTGTCATAAAGCTCAGTACAGGGTGGGAGAAACCAGACCTCTAGAGTGTGAATGGGAGGCAGTCATGTCAAATAGAGCTGCTGTTTCAGCACGATTTATCATTCATTTATCAACATAAATTTCGAAAATCATAAGCCTGATTTCACTTTAGCTGGAGCCAGTTCAGTAGTTTTGAACTACAGGAACTCCAGTACTGTGCTAATTTAAAGTATGTGTATTTCCTTTGTATAAAAACTTGTACTTTTAAGATTTTACATAATCTTATGAAATAAAAAAAAATATGTGGGTTTCAACCTTCTTGGCTTGTAACCCCTTTCAAAAAAAGCAGTCTATTCACCCCACATTTCCACCAGTTCACATATTGTCCCACCGACACTGGGCTTTCCTGCCAGACTTTCTCCAAGTAACTGGTTAATTTAAATGTTTCATATCTGAACAACCAACTCAGGCTTCATCCATATAAACAAAGTATTGTGCAATTTCAAATAAAAATTTAAATCGAAATGGAACTTCGTTTCTATATCAGGCAGGCAGCGAATTGAACAAATGTGTTTTTCTTCTTCCAGACAGACTGTCCAATTTCAACACTGAGTGGTAAAATATCAGCTCTCAGCTGAGCATATAAAGATCATCCCAATACCATATTCATATTTTATTATTGGCAGTTTTGGTTTGGTCTATAAATCATCAGACCACTGCTTTTTATTCTGAGCAAACACTGATTTGAAATGTTGATCTTTTCATTTATAAAACATGCTTCACCAAACCTATAGTTACAGAACAACAGTTACAAGGAAATGGAAAGCAACATTTTAACAGAAGTCATACAGATGACCACAAACATTTATCAGTCAGAAGATCAGTTATTCTGCAGAATGTTTACTTTTGATACTTGAAAACATAAAGCTGGTCATTTTCTGTATTAATAGTATTTCTAACACTCCCCATAGAAATAACCTTATTCTTTAAGTAAATTTGGCTGATAATGTACTTCACTAGAACAGTTTTTAATTGCAGTGAGGTATTTTTACATTGCTGTATTGGGAATTTTACGTAAGCAAGAAATCAGTTTAATTCATCCATTATTGTCCTTTAAATATTATCCAATAATTTAAAACCATTCCCCATCACTCCACATAGAGTACATCACATAATCTTAGGAATTCTATCCACAAATATAACAAAAATCAGTATTTAATGAGCCACTGGAAATCAATCAAAGAAAGCTTCCTTCACAGGTAGTGCACAAGATAGCACAGAAAACATTAATTACCATTAGTTTGTAAGTCTTAATGGATCTGTGGACGAAAAATATATAGAATTTGCACCAAATTTATATGAACCCACACAGTCAACACACCAGCAGGCATTCACACATTATTTCTCCTTTAGGTAACCACACACACACACACACACACACACACACACACACACAATTATGAAGCTCCCTGACTCATTAGTTATTACCAAGACCAAAAAAGCCCCAAGCCTGTATGTACTTTACAAACCAATAACTGTATGAACAGTATCAGCTCATTTTCTCAAAACTGGAAAATATCTGTTCATCCTTTGAAACATCATCACAAAGGTCTCTTAATTTTTGTCTACCTGACAAACTGACACTCTGATCAAACTCATGAGAGTACAATTACTCCAAAAATAGGAACAGAAGCATTTCGAAAAGCAGGTGTAGCAATCTAAAACTTTGTTTTATTGGACACACACAGAGGTAGAGAGACTAAAGCAGAAAGAAACAGTGAGTAGCAGAGACAGAGAGAGAGAGAGAGAGAGAGAGAGACATTCAGAGTTGCATTATAAAGTGTCTTTACTGAAGCACCCCACTCAGCACCACAAATCAAGGCAAAACAGCAGCAGTGCAAAAGCCTGTTAACTTTCCCTCAGTGGATTCCTGCATAAATGTGTTTTCCTGACGTTAAAGCACGTGTCAAACTCAAGGCCCGCGG